TCTTCTAAATGTAGCCTGTCATTTTTTAATCCCAAGTGCGATGACAGAACTCAATCATAGTGTGAACAATGTTGACACATGCAAATGTGAACCGTGTTTAAAACATGGAAAAATGTGATCAATCAACGGTTATACCAGGCTAATCTGTAGAGCTCTCATGTTAGAATATATTAGCATATACAGCTTCATAAACAATATACAAAACACATTAGAAGTGCATTCAGCATGTTTTTGTTTATTTTTTCACTTATTCATCTCAGTGGTCTTGGACGTTATACTGACACCTTCTGGTGTGGATGCATTAGTTTATTAGCGTAGCTGTGTATGCTCATTTTAATCATAAAAGAGATGTTTATATCTAACACTAAACACTGGTGATAAAACAAAATTTAAAGGGTTTTAAAATGCATAACTGAGAAAGGGGAAAGAGAGATGCTTTGCAAGAACATTAGGGGAATGGGGGCAAAGAGAGAAAAGAAAGTTGGAGACAGAGAAATAGAAAGAAAGAGAGGCACGGAGGAGAAACGGAAAGGGGTTCACGAGGGAGCTCTTGTTCACAGAGGCAGAACACAGACAGAAGGGGAAAGATAACAGACTCTTAGCTACACTGAGAACAACACAGGTAAACATGTTCCATGCACAAATATATTCCGCTTTTTAAGTTATATAACTGCCAATTTTTTTTCATTTATATAAAAAAAAAACTGTCATAGGTGCTTGTTTCTGTACAGCAGATAAAAGTTTTGGAAGGGAACAAAAAAATATATAAACATATCATAAATTTAAAGAAAATATGGCTTTCATATGGCTAATGCTAGGGCTGCAATAACTAAACAGCATTTATTTGAAATGGAAATATTTTGCATCATTATAAACTTTCCTGTCGCTTTTGATCAATTATGATCAAAGTTTTGAATGCTCTTGTACATTTTACTGATATACTGTTATAATGAGAGTAGTTCTATTATGCAAAACAGCAAGTCCTAACATTGAGCGTTCATATTAGTTCATATGTCACTAATACAGTTACATTTTCATGACAGACATCAAATTTAGGTTTAAAATTGGCTGTAACTGAAACATGAAATGCTACAACAGTGAAAACTGGGGGGAACCAGGCTTTATGTACTAAAACAATATATATATATATATATATATTTAAAATAACTATATTATAAACCATTTTGACCATAGTGTACATAAATTATATAGACTTTTCTCCATAATATTTAATAGCTCATAACAGATATCAGATATAACAGATATCTATAATTAATTATAATTATTTGATAATCAAAATAGTTGTTAGTTGCAGCCCTAGCTTATACATTCCAACACTTCAGAAGCACAGGAAACAAATATTGTATTATACCCTCTTATATCCAAAATAAGCCAGCTGTACTCAAATTACTGTACCAAATAAAATCATGCAAAACAGCCCAGTACAGCAACAAAGTCAAAGTGGAACAAGTGTGCCATACAAACATTTCACTCACGCAAGTCACAAATGAGTATCAACACGTCATGCAGCCTCTGAACAACAGCAAGGTGTCGTGTTTAGCATGTCAGTAACTCTGAAAACAGTGTTATGGTGTAACATCACAAAACGAAGTGAAGCACTACGCCACAACACCAAACCGATGAGAAAACTCTGAAGCAGACAGATCAATAAAAGCTAAGACATTAACAGTGATACTCTTCCCTTCGAACAGTCAGCCACAGTGCGTCACGCTGGGGGCAACATTGAGAGATCGGACCTGTAATATCACCAATTACAGTAATACCTTCTCTCCCTTTCTCTCTCTATCCATCCCGTGTGAGCTTGAGGCTGGGCTGGCTAGAGCTGGTGATGAGGTGTGGAAACCGGACATACACACTTCCACAGACAATTCTTGTGTGGTCAGATCAGATCTGATGAGGTGAGAACATGGGCGCTGATGGTGCCTTCCCACCCAGTGTCCCTCTACCACCCTCATCCCAAAACCACCACCATCACCACGGTGAACACATAGACATGCCATAAGCAATCTGTACCTTGTGTGTGATCGGGACTGGACCAACTGACACCGGTCAGCATTACATCTAGAAGAACGAAACCATGTTAATCAGGTAGGGCAAGCAAAGAAACCGTCAAAGGAGCTTTTCTGAGAGAATATGCCGGTGGGCGTTCCAATTATTCTGAGTCCAAAATAACTCTATTGTTATGTGTAAAACACTAATACTAAATCTACTTATCCCAGATGTTCGAGCCCTAGATTATTAGTCCTAGATTACTGTTCTTGAAATACTTTGTGGATGGAAATGTCTGGCAAACAAACAAATAAAGCTTTTTTCAGTTAACGATACCAACAAGTTCGCCTGAAAGGAACCTCAACTTTTCTGCTCAACTTTTTATAGGAAAAGTCCACAAAAAGTTACCTCAGGATATTTAGATATTATGTTCAAAAAGAAGTTCAAAATATTAATCAGACCAGGCAAAGCTGACACACGGTTTAATCCCATTTCCACCCCAGAAACCTGACACATCCCGTCAGACATTCACACCTACGGAAAATTAGATTTGTAGCAAAAAGAAAAGATGAAGCAAGGTCAAATAAAGCACCTTTCCCTCTCCAGCTAGATCTGATGGCATGATAGCACTATAAAACAAAAGAACACACTAATCAGCTAATGTGCAAATCAAATATAGATATTGAGAATATATGGTGTGACAGTACATTTAGAGAGGGTTAGATTTGACCTTTGAACTGAGATTAGATGATAAAAGTACCAATGAGACCAGCTTTGTTTGCCTTGCATGAGTTTTAGTCTCTGATCTTGTGGTCTGACACAAGATGTTATAGTACATAGATTACCTATTTACATCTGTATTTCTCAAGGGCTTAAAAAAAAGAAAAGAAGATTCCCATTTTTAACTGTAAAGATCAAACATGCTGGACCAATGTCCAAACCAATGTCCCTAGCATCCACACGGAGATTCTTGGTGATGTTGTTTAAATGCTAACGCCATGTACTGAAAATAGCAGGCAGTGGAACCAAAAGAGAAGGTCATCAATACCACGCCGTGCATCCTAGTAGCATTGGAGCAGGCAGCTGATGGATGTAACCAATTTGAGAGTGACAACAACGGGATTTTTATTTACTTCTCAGACTGCACTGTCCTACATGCATGAGAGGAGTAGGGTGGGCAGAGCCCTGGAGCAGGGGTCCACCGCACACCCTGCTCTCTCAGTAAGCAGATCACCATGCAAGCCATGGGACATGCTCTAGAGACGTTCCCAGGCAAAAGGGGGGCAAGCCGGGGAGGGGCGGATTCCTAGCTAATTACGGGCCCGAGCATCTCATTCCTCATACGCTGATGACTAATTAACATTAGCAACTAATTTAGCACATGGTCAAACCAAAATGATCAAGCAGGACTCAGAAAGGTATGGAAAGGCTACCGACCAGCTAGCTCCTTCTCCTTACTCCTTCTTTTTTTCTCCATGCGTTTAAGGCGCTTCTCCTCGCGCAGTTTGGCTTCTTCGGCCTCCTGGTGCCGTCGGCACTTGTGAAAGTTCTCGACCACCACGCCGACGAACATGTTGAGCACAAAGAAAGCCACGATCAGCAAGAAGGAGATGAAATAAAGCAGCATCCATGGGTTGTAATTCATGACGGGCTACAAAACAGAAAAACACAACATGGATTAATGTACAGAATGCACACTAATGTGCACACATTAGGAAGTTTATTCAAGGCTCAACAGTAAGTTGGGCCAGCAATTCAACGATGTTGACTTGCATTACCTACCTACTTACTTATGTTAATAAATTTTTATACATATCTTTTGCATTTGATTTATTTAATATGTTATAAATTATAATATAATATGTCAAAAAATAATAATAATAATAATTTTCAAAACAAGCAAAAAATATTCTTTATACAAACCAGCCCAGGAGAAAGGGAAAAAAGGCCATATATATTTATTTAATATAATATAATATAATATAATATATAATAATTTCAAATTCCAAAAAATTGTATAAAAATACATCAGTTGCCGAGTCAGGTCCCAAGGATTAGCTTACAGCCATGTTCAAGATGGTGATGATGGAGAATTGTGATATCAATAAAATTTCAGTTCAAAGGTCTGTCCTGCTGGGGACCAGAATATGCCTGCCTCTAGGCTAGATTAAGTGTTCTGTGTGCAATGGTGAGGCACAGGTCACACGGCATGAATTTGAAGAAGAGATATCTGTGCCAATTCAAACACATGAATGCCTTGGTTAGGACAAGGTCTGGGCTCTTTTCAAATAGAGCAGAACAATTTCAGGAGCCTACAGCCAGGCATTCCTTTTCAGGCAAAAAAAAATCATCCTATATTTTATTACTCAAAAATGAATTCAGAATTATTCAAAAATTTAAACTGTATTTAAAAAAATAGACATTTTGGGGGAAGAGTGTTAAATAAGCCACTTCAAAGAGTTCTGTTGAATGGACAGCAAGGAGCTTTACAGAAAAAACTGATGAATGGAAAAGCAGTTCTTTGAAGCCAGGACAGGATTGCTGACCAATGATTTTTCAGCTCTGATTCAGTTCATGGAGTTCAATGAAGAGTTTGCAGTTATCAGAGAACGCGAATGACTGGGATGTATTCTGGCCCAAAGTTTGTTTGCATTCTACAAACAGTGACCCAATTAAATAAGGTTGCCACACTGTCCACAGTTTCAGATCAAAAATATCAAAAGGGGAACCCATAGGCATATAAATATTATTACAATTAAATGTTATGCAGGTAACAGCAGCTTCTGATATAGTCAATACCTGCTGATCGACACCGACAGAATCCAGGCCGTCGTACATTATGTCCACCCAACCGTCTTTGGAAGCCAGAACAAAAAGGGACATGAGGGCCTGAGGGAAGTGAGAGATAATAAAAGAGGTTAAAAGAAATCTTTGACTTCAGTGGCTCCATTTGACTTTGTTGAAAATGGGATGAGACCATAACAGATTATTTTCAAATTGGAAGTGGCATTACCACTCGCTTGTAGGTACATCTAAAAGAGCATCTTGAGAAAGAGTGAAAGTTTGTGTAACCATTGCAAGGTTAAACGCTTACCTGCCCCAGGTTATCAAAGTTGTACTTGTGCCTGACCCATTTGTTGCTTGCCTGGAGGCAATCAGACTTGTTGGTGATGTTCCTCGTATCCTCCCCCTGACACACAAAGAACTTTCCTTTGAAGAGCTGTGAGGAAAAAAACAATTTTATCAGCTCACAACCAACCTTCCTTTTCTCTGTGAGTGATTTTTTGGAATAACACACATAAAAATGTCTCAACTAGAACGACAGATATCAAGTGTCTTGAGATAATAAATAGAAATACATTCTATATATATTGGAAGAAAAAGAGGGTGTGGAATTTAATGACAATAGCTGACAATTATTGGTTAATTATAATGAAGAGTTCAGATTTCAATTACATATATCATGTACATATAAGCGCATTACATTACTATATATGAATTATATGTTACAACTTCATACAAGATGGTTATGTCCCCATTATTGAAAGTCCAGTATGACTATTTAGTGAAAACCATAAAAGGACAAAGCCAATGTTACACATGCCACATCATTCAGGCTCAAAGAGCACTGGCATCTTTTCCTGGAACAATGGAAGATAAATTACATCGACGTTCCCCTAAGGACTTACGTAAATTGTGGAAGTATGAAAAACAGAACATTTTAATCATAGTCAAATTATTCAGCTGTGGGCAGGAAGAGCATGTTTCAAATTTACAGAAATGACAGAAAATCATGTATTTGTTCTATGCCCACCTCTTTCACTCTCACTAAAAGTCTTAAAGGCAATCTTGTGGATTAAATACACAGAGCTGTCAAATGATCTGTTACTTTATATATGACGGTTTCTTAGAAGGAATTACTACAATTAATCCCTTAAGTTAAGACTGGCTTTTACTTTAATAGTCTGATCCAAGCAAGAAATATTATATCTGCTATATAACTGTAAGGTAGCATTTCTAACTTCCCTACCGAAAAACATAGCTAAAACTGGCCTAAGCTGGTTTAAGATGGCCTGCCATGCTGACAAAGCTGAAAAGTGCTCAAAGTCTTATTAAAACAACCCAAAAACAAAAAAACTCCTTAAACTGGTTTACGCTTGTGATTTCTGCAAGGTTATGCTGTTTTGTACTTACTTGAACTCCCAAGATGCCAAAAATAATGAAGAAGGCACAACAGATAACTACAATGTTCCCGATAGGCTTGAGTGACGTCATCAGTGTCTCAACAACCAGCTTCAGTCCTGGAGCTCTGCTGATCACTCTGAAAATCAAACAAGAGAACAGATTTTTAAGCAACAGATCTTAGCCTGGAGGTTCACAACTGTTTTTTTTTGCTTCAGGACCTCGATGTTCCATTTGGAAATCAAGAAGCAACTCAACAAACAAACTATTTTCTCAGGAAAAACAACCAAACAAGCAAACATTTTACAAAATTACATCATTTGTATAGTATTATCATGCTATATAACTAACTACATAATTTACATTTATATTAATAATAAATAATTTGATTTATTAGTATATTTAGGGCTGTCAAAAAACATTAACACACTAATATTGATTAACAGTGCTAATATTTATCAAGGCATAGCGTTAAATGTCTTTTAAATTTCAAAAGGCTTTATCGTGCAGCCCATAATTCGCCTCACAAAATACATAGTGATCACCACAAACCATGTTCATTCTCATTCAACCCCTATTTAATGTAGTCTGGGTCATTTATTTTTAACCTTAAACAGCTTTGTGACAGATGAATTTGGGCAAAAATTTGAATTAGACACACTATCTTTGACTAATAACAAAAGACATGGGAAGCGCTTTCTCCTTTCTTTTAAAACATGATAAGCCTATTTATTTTGCTATCCTAACTATGCACAATTATATGGTGAGCTGCATAGTTGTAAACTCAGAAAGGGTCCATAAACTGCTCAGTCCTTGCCTGGCCAGTGCCTGCGAGTGGATAAATGTTTCTCATGCTTTCACCAACCTGACATTAGTCAGCTTTCTCTACTTTAGGCATTCCATCATTGCTGCAATCACAACCTCCTCTACGAGTGAGCATGGCAATTACCAGCAAACATTTTCATGCACTAGCCATTATGCTAAGCAACCCCAATGCAATGCTGTGGGGAAACTTTCTGTGCTGCATAGAAAGGAGACAGTTTTAATTAAACCGTCGGAATAAAGATGAAGCCTGATTATTAAAGGCACAACATCCGGAACTAAACCGCACATGTCAACCTCTGCGGAGGGTGGCATCAACAGTGACACAAAGACACCTGCTCACAAAGGCACAGACAATAACATATGTAATACAAATACACAGCTGTAACAGGAATTCAGCTGCTTTAGAGGCCAGGGTGTGTTCTTTTGTTAAAAAACAACTAAAAGGGGAAAGAAAGCATGCGTTAAAAAGCAAGTGTTTAAAAGTTTGGCCTCTTTAAAGTTAACATGCTGTCTTAAAAATGTTGCATTCATGACACGAGACCAATGAAATGTGCTTAAATGGTCAAAGATGTCCATCTAATGCATGTTTACAAAGACCAACAATGAAAAAGTAGTGCAGACAGATTCAAGATCAACTGTTTGTCTGTAAGAACAGCGATTCACATGTAAAATTATACTCTAAGGGAGCTGTAAAAGGCAACTGACTTTAATCTACGGCATTGTCTGTGTTGAACTGATGTTAATGGGACACAATGAGGACCTAAAGCAGTAGCAGGGGATCCAGATGCATTGCAGAAACATTGTATATTGCAAGATGTTTATGATATCTCACACACACACACACACACACACACACACACACACACACACACACACACACACACACAGAGAGAGACTTCAAAAATGTGTCTTCCTTCAAAATAAAGAATAAAAGGCACATTAGTCCTCAGTGATTTCTGGCTCCTCACCACAGAACTGAGCTAAAGCAGCAAAGACCTGATTTGATCCTCAGCTTTGATCTTCTTAAGAAGTGTTCTGTGATTGTATCAGTGTCTGAGGATGAAGAAAGGGGCATGTTTAAAGAGACCAATCAGGTTTAGTCAAAGTGACTGGTTGAGAAAGGAGTCTGCCAAAAGGGAGTGCAGATAACAGGCTGCTCTGTCTTTTGTTTGTCTGAATATCTGCGTGCATCTTTCACAAGCTCAAGCGGATTTATCAAAGCTCACTTCAGGGATTTCAGGTAATACCATAAAATCAATTATGGAAATGTCAAACGATGAGAAGGATCAATATGTCTAGACCCACGCTCATCTCTGAGTGAATTTGAGAGGGACAGTCTAGTGAAATTATATGATGACTTGTTCACTAAAACTAAAAGAATTAAAAAAAGAAATTCTGAATTGAAATAAAAGCTTGAACTGAAACATAAAATCACATAAAATATGAATATTAGATGAAAACTTGGCAACTAAAAATAAGCTGAAGTTTTAAGTAATAAAATTACCAAAACTAAACTGGAAAAAAAAATAGAAATATTAAAAAGACAATCACATAAAACAAATCAAAATTAAAATCAAGTGAAATCTAAATATTAATAGATATAATAGTATATGAATAGCATGCTCACACCTTGAGATTTCAATCCCTGACCAATAGAGGGCGCTAGTGCCTGAGGTGTTTTTCAAAACAGTAGACATTCCAGATCACAGTGAAGTTATACGTTTATATAATTTTTAATGAAAAAAATGAGTAAATATTGGATTTAGTGCAATTTAATATTTATTTATATACAGTAATAAAAGAGCAGTGACAGCAAAAGAAAAGCATGTTTGTAAAGAGTAAATTTTGAAAATATCAGATGGTTACACCATGGTCCTGTTATATATATGCCATGGTACTGAATGATTACCATAGCATGATAAAATACAATGGTACTATTGTAAATGCCATGATATTTTTTGTTGGTGAGAAACCAGGGTGGTGGTCCTAGTTGTATAATATGATGCCGATGCGACTCTTCTGGTTTCTGAGCACGTGTTATGGTTACTGTGTTCTGCAAGCCTTCAAAAAAATCAGAATGTCCCATATATAATCGCTCCAATCCGGTCTTTGTGTTCTGAAAGGTTTTAATAAATAAATAAATTAAGAAGGAAACAATAAGTAGAGCACTAAAGGAGCCTCTTATTCCCAGAACACAGAGACACATTTTCATCCTGGCTGTAATTAAAGGATGCTGTAGTTGGGCTGGGAACCGTCAGTTTGGGGGATTCAAGCTGTGTGTCCCTGACACACACACACACACACACACACACACAGCAAGCACACAATCTGAGGACATCCGTCAAATGACAAAAAATAAATAAATAAAAATCGCAACTACAAAAAAAGACTGTAGTAAAAACAGCAGCATTAAAGGGGTCATATGATGCGATTTCAATTTTTCCTTTCTCTTTGGAGTGTTACAAGCTCTTGGTGCATAAAGAAGATCTGTAAAGTTGCAAAGACTGAAGTCTCAAATCCAAAGAGATATTCTTTATAAAAGTTAAGAGTCAACCACGTCTACCTAAAACGGCTCGTTCTAACATGCCTCCACATGTCTACGTCACGATGTGGGAAGAGTTGCATAACGCCGCCCAAATGTTCACGCAAAGAAAGAAGATAACTTTTATTCTCGCTGTAGTATTGTTGCTGCCGCCATGTTGAGACGCTGTGTGTTTCGTTGTGAAAGCGAAACTACTTTGTTTGGTCTTCCAAAAGAGGACGATATCCGCTTCGTCATGCCTAGAGCTGATCCGTGCTGGTCGCTGAGGAAATACATCAACTTCAGGCTGTGGATCGCCGGATCGGCTTTCACCGTGGACGAAGCAGAGTCCAGCCCGGGGTTGTCACATGTGGTTGTCACATGTGGTTGCCACAAGCCCGCTGACCACCGCTCATTCTAGCTGCCAGCCTCCGCTCACTCAAGGCCGCCGTGTGTGATGCTGTTTGTTTCATTGTGAAAGCAAAATTACTTTGTTTGGCCTTCCAAAAGAGGACACGACTACAAATCAGTGGTTAAGTTGTATTTCCAACACTGTTCCAGAACAGTTCAACCCAAATATTCAGATCAGCACATTTTATGGAGGACTGTTTCCTGATCCTGGTAGAGTAGACTACAATGCCGGCTGTTCTGACTCACAGACTGTAAGTACGTTTTTTATATATAAAGAATTTGCCACTAACGATTCAAACACGAGTTTTGAGCAGTGTAGAGTAGCGCTTGTTGTTTGTCATTTCTCCGATCACAAATGCAGACATGGTTTTATGTTTACGCGGCGCAATGCAACGCGTAAAAAGACAGTATAAGTTAGTTAGTTAGTTATTTATAAAGCACATATAAAAACAACCAAAAGGTTGACCAAAGTGCTGTACATTAGAAATAATACATAAAAAGAGAATTTCAAACAGCAAAGTTAAATATTTACTTGTTAATATTCATTTGTTGTTAAACGCCATAGATTTAAAAATAAGATTTAAGCTTTGATTTAAACATAGAAAGTGATGATACCGTTCGAATTGACACTGGTAAGCTATTCCATGGGGCTTGCAAAGGCTCTGTCTCCTCTATGTTTTTGCTTAGTCCTACACACTGTAGCAAATCAGCTCATGAGGAAATATGAATAATTAACCATAACTAGTTATAATTAACTATTCATATTTTAGATCCACTGTAGATATTTAGCTGACCACTCAGGGTCAACCGTCTTGTCAATTCTAAGAACGTTAATTTCCTGGTTAAAGGAAATTACTTTCTTACTGTACAATTCTATAAGTTTGTAACGTAAATCTGCATGATTATTGACTCCGGTTATGGAGTACCTAAGTGACCTAGTTGGATTATGAGGGAGTACCAAAGCAGAAAGGTAGCCTGGAGCGAAGCCATGTAAAGATTTATAAACGAAGACTGAAATTGTAAACTCTATTCTAAATTTAACCGGTAGCCAGCGCAGAGACATCAAGATGGGAGTAATGCGATACATTTTTTTGCTACCGGTCAACAGCCTAGCAGCAGCGTTCTGAACAAATTGTAAATGCCCAATAGATTAACTATTAGCTCCATAATAAAGTGAAGTTTCGAAATTCTTGAGGGAGAGAAAAGTTTTAACTTTTGCAAGGTGGCGTAAATGTAAAAAGCATGATTTGACGACAGAATGAATCTGTTTATCAAACCGAAGTCCTGAGTCAATTAAAACGCCAAAGTGTTTTGCACACGGAATAACATGAGATCTTAAAAAGCCTAGATCCAGATCACCACCATCATAAAAGTCACTTGGT